TGGGGAAGAAAGGGGTGAAGCATGACTTTGACGTTTTGTACAAAATCTAGTCCCAGCAACTTAACGTTAGTTTCAGGAAACTTCAAAAATATTGGGGACTACTATAATACAATTTGGCCTCATAAGAAACTAATTTGAGGGGCTGGTGTTACAGTGAAGTAGGCTAAGCCTTTGTCTGTGGCACCTGCATTCTTTATGGATTCTGGTTCATGTCCCGACTGCTCCACTTCTAATCTAGCTCCCTGCTAATGCGCATGGGAAAACAGCAGAAGGTGGCTCAAGTGCTTGGGCCCCTGCACCCATATGGAAGAACCAAATGAAGCTCCTAGCTCCTGGCTTTTGACAGGCCCAGCTCTTGCTGTTGTAGCCATTTGGGGAGTGAACCAGCGAAAGAAAGATCTCTTTAAGTTTCTTCTTCTCTCTATAACATTGCCTTTCAAATAAAAACAAAGCAAATCTTAAAAAGATAGAGAAAAACTAATTTGAGGCCTGGGCTTTCAGTGCGGAGTTAAGGCACTGCTTGGAATGACCGCAATGCATATCAGAGTTCCTGATTGGAGTCCTGGCTCTGCTTCCCTCCAAGGTTTCTGTTAATCCTCACTCAGGGGGAGGGGGACAGCGGGTGACAGACACACATGGGAGACAGAAATTGCATTCTGGGCTCCAGGCTTCATTTTGGCCTAGGCATCATTGTGGTGGGCATTTGGGGAGGGGAATCAGCAGAAGAAAAAGATCTTCCTCCATTTGTCTCTCTCTCTCTGCCTTTTAAGAAATAAGAGGGCTAGGTATAATGCATTGTCCTTATAGGAAGCTGGTTGTAGAGCCTAGATCCTGAGTGGAGTGTGGGAACTCCAAACGAGAGCAAAGAGAAGCTCCCTCTTCCAAGGCCTTTCCAGAGAATGAGTGCTGCCCTCTGATTCTCACGGACTGCCCTGCCCTGAGCAAGGCTGACATGCAGCCCAGTGGCACGGCGGGCACACCCTCGGCCATGGCAGACCCACGATGGCCTTCCTGCCCTTCCCTGCCCAACCCCTCCCACCCACCTGGTTTGGACTGTTTCCTTCATTCCCGGTGTGACTGTCTGGCATGGCCATCCTGGGAGGCCATGCAGGCCAGGGCCATGGCAAAGCTGCCTGGGGACCCTGGAGGTGAAGACAGCAAGTCCACTCCCAGTCACAACCACAGCTCCATCAGGAGCTCCTGTGTGGCTGGGAGACAGACACAAAACTTTGAGTTATGTGAACTCTGTGTTCTGAGGCCAAAAAAAAAAAAAAAAAGTGATAGCCCATGTGAGGTTTGTTCATCAATTCTGGCTGCAGGCAAGATAAGGCCCAGAACACCAGGCACCTGTCAAAAACACACCCAGGAAGGTGGAACGGGTTTTCCAATTTAGGTGCTGAATAAGCCCGAACAGGTGTCTGTAGCTTGACCTATTTCCTTGATATCCTTGGTGGTTAACTTTGGCCACTTCCGGCCTTTCTGACACCTGGTCTTTTTGGTTTGATGCATTTCTGGTTTATCTTCTCCCCAGGGCCAGCCCTACTTCCTGAAACAAACACTTTTTTTTCCCACCAATGAGCAGAGGGCTCATCTGTACTGACTCAGTTTCTGGGGGAGGGGCCAGTGCTGAGGGTATGGAAGACATGTGTTTACTGCTACAATTTCAGAATTCCAGGGCATTTTGACTTGTTATAGGCAAAGCTGGAGCAGAACACTTGAGGTCTGGCTTGCCCTGGGATTGTGGGGTCAGACCATAGTGACCTGTTTCCAGGTAGCCTGCATGATGCGGGCAAGACAAGATGTGAACTTTGAAACAACGACCTGCAGACTCTGGCTGGCCGTGGCTGAGAGGGGTGACGTGAGCTCAGCCTCTGTTTCCCAGCTGGAAGACCAAGCTCAAGATGTTTTTCAGGGTGCCGGCTCTGTGGCTCAGCAAGGTAAGCCACTGCTTGCCATATCCGCATCCCAGCTGGTATTGCCATTTTCCCCAGCTGTAAGCAACTACCTAGGTTGCCCTGTACCTAGGCGAATGTTCCACTGCTGGGAGAAGATGCTGTAGAGCATTCCGGACCTGGTTAATGCCAAATTGATCTTCAAACAGCATAGCTGCCTATTCTGTCTTCTTTTTTCGAAAGGTTTGTGTGAGGGGGCCAGCAGGCCTGCAGGAAGACCACCCTGGGTCCCACAGCAGCAGGGAGTGTGTGGATTATCTGTGGAATAGGGGTTTGAGGATGTGTGAGTGGGGGCCACTGAGGGAGTACTTTACATCTGTGTGATGACTTCTGCGGGCTTCCATGGACCAGGCCACTGCACCTGCAGGTAAATGAGGGAGCTGAGACTGGATGGTTTAGAGAGGGGAAGCCAGAGGGCATGTCATGTCCAGGCAAATGCACCTGCCCACATGGGAGACCTGGGCTGGCTAGGTAGTATCACTGCCTGCCTGCTGGCAAACACAAAAGCTAGGGTTGGGGGGCCTGGCAGGGTTAGACTACAGTATGGGCAGTGAGTGTCCAGGGCAGGGAGTGGACCACACAACACTGGGCCATGACACCAACCAGCACACAGGAGAACTAGATCTGGGAGCAGATTCTGAAAGAGGTATGTGGGCTCACCCCTGTGGATCTGCAGTATCCACTGATTTGTGTGAGAGCAGGGAGTAGTGTTGGGCCAATCCAGGCATGACCATGGACCTTATCTGATACACATGGGAACCAAGGTTGGGAGCAGGACGTGCTGGCCCAGGCTGCAACAAGCATGGGTATGCCAGAGAATCGAGTCTAGGGATGGGTAGGGCCACAGCAGCCATCAGCACATGCAAGGGTCAGGGCTGGGGGTGGGGGGAGTAGACTGTGCAGGGACCTAGAACCTGCCACCATACATGAGATCCAGGTCTGGGAGCTGGCCTGGTGGGGCAACTTGAAGAACTCTTCTATTAGGTCGCAGTTCCCAGTGATGAACACGTCAGCCAAGGCTGGGGGTAGGCCAGGCCAGGCAGGGTTGTACCAGCATGTGTATAAGCTGGCTTGGGGAAGAAGAGGTAGCTGGGCTGGGCTGACCTGGGCCAAGTCATATCACATAGTAGCACATGAAGAAGCCAGGATGGGTGTGGGCTATGCCAGGCTAGGCCATTTCACCTGCCAGTTCACATAAGAGCTAAGGATGCAGGGGAGAAAAGTGATGACATTAGTGTGGAAACAATAATATTATCCACTTTCCTGTAGTCCTTGACCCTTTTTGTACCCTAATCAACTAAGTAAGATTATTTAAAAAAAAAAAAACTTTCAAGAAAGAGCTACGGTTGCGGGCAGGTTGGGCAGGGCTAGGTCGTGGCACCGATGGTATGTATGAGAGCTAGATGGGATATGATGCCACATCAGACTGCTGGACATACCAGCACATACAGGAGCTGGGCCTGAAGGCAGGCCTGGTGGGGGTCACCCCAACTAGGCCGTGACACCCTCTGGTGTGCCAGTGGCTGGGTTAGTGGCAGATTGGGTTGGTCTACGTTGCAGCACCCATTGTTCTGCATGGGAAATGGAGCTAGGCATGGAATTGATCAGGCAGCTGCATTGACCGGTATGTGTGAAGGCTGATGCGAGTGGCAGACTAAACTGGATCCTGCACTAGATGGAGCACATAGGAGTCAGATCTGGGGGTCACCCCAGACAAGGCTTCTTGGGAGATTAGACCCCTAGACAAACTCTGGCCTCAGAGAAAATCATAAGATGTGACTAAACTCTGGAGTGCATATGTGGAATCTGGCCTTCTCAGTTAGTGATGCCTGTGCAGTGGACAGCATACCCTGATGCACATGAGAGACATGACAGCCAGCTCGTCTAGGCTGGCAGAGTGCACTGAGTGCCTTGTCAGAGGATGGAAGGCAAGACAGGTTGGACGACTCTCCTGGTCAAGCTTTGCAGCATGTCCTTGGGTCTGTGAATGCACTAAAATGAACTTGGTCATCTCTTTTCTGCATTTGGTAAGATCAAGTGTGGACCTGGTCAGCTAACAGACCTTGGAAAGTTTTCCACAACATGGAACAACGAAAATGATGTCTCAGAACTATCAAAACGACTCAAAGAACAGGTGGGGCTGCATGTTGCCGCCAGGAGGCCTGGGCTGGAGCAGATCAGGAAGGGGGCTGGCTTTGGAGCAGGTATCAGACTCCTGGCAACGGACTCTGGCCTTGCCTGCCTCCAAGGTGCCGACAGGACATGCACGCAGGGGAAGGTCGCACAGGTGCATGGTGCATGGTAGCCTAATACACGGGGTCTCTGTGGTAAAGAGGTAGAAAGGGAGAGGAGCAAGCAGACACCATACAGGCAAGGGGTTGCAGTGGCCTGAGGCTGGCACAGCTGGCAAGGCACAGGTCAGGAAAGGAACCGGGGAACTGTCTAGGGGGTGCTCACAGGGATTTCAGAGGCTTGATTCCTCTAACAGAAAAAGGGGATCTCCCCATTCCGGGACTCTGCACCAGTTTCTGGGATGTTAGTGGGAAGGCCAGGTGTTCCAGCCAGAGGCTGGCTCCAATAAGAAGACCGTGGCGGGGGGTGGACGGGGTAACGGGCGCGGCCGGGAGCAGACCAACTGGCAGAGGAAGGAAAGCAGGAACCAGAGGACAGAAAACGCCTTCTGACACTGCCCCTGGCTCACCACCAAAACAAACGGACAGGGAGCGAGAGCGCCGCTGCAGGGTGACGGAGGCCTTGCTCGTGAGGTTCGGACGCGTCTCGCGTGGAGCACCCACGGTACCGCCTTTCCTCCACTCGCTCCCCTCCCTGGTCTCCCCTCCGCCCCCTCTCCGCCCGCCCGCAGCTCGGGAGCCGCAGGTTCCCAGCACTGACGTCAGCAGGCGATGACCTCAGCGCCGAGGAGGTGGCGGGGGCGGAGGAGGGGCGAGGCGTGTCCACGGCGACCCCACCCGCGTCCCCTGTCCCTCGCCAATGGGCGCCGCCGCCGCTGGCCCCGCCCTCACGGAGCCTATGAAAGGCGCGGTCCCGGGAAGTCCGCGCAGAGCTCGAGGAGCGGCCAGGCTGCGACCCTGGCTCCCCGGCAGGACCCGCGGACACCTCCGCCTGGGACACCTCCGCCTGCTCCTGGCGTTACGCACGACATGAGCCACGGGCAGAGAGCCGACATGGTGCCGGAGATCGCCGCGGCCGTGGGCTTCCTCTCCAGCCTCCTGAGGACGCGGGGCTGCGTGAGCGAGCAGAGACTCAAGGTTTTCAGCACGGCGCTCCAGGAGGCGTTAACAGGTGAGCGCCGGGCCTCGGCCCCCTCCCCGCAGCAGCGACTTTCAGCTTTCGGGGTCGGGTGGTTCTGGCTGAGCGCGCCTCTCCATCCCAGGGAGCTGATCTGAGCTTCCCGGTTGTGCCCCGGGACAAGAGGGACCCCGTGGATCTGATCGGGTGCTCGTCACCTTTGCTGGGACCCTACACCTGGGACCTTGGAAGCAAAGAGCGGGTCAACGAAACCCCTCCGGCCGAGGGGGTCCTTGTGGGAGAAGGCGCACGGGAGGCTTTTCCAGTCTGCCTCTCTGGACGTGGGCTCCCTTTGTCTTCTCTGTTCTGTGGTCGATCTCAGGCGTCCGCCACTGACTGTGGTGTGGAGAGACGGGAGCCAGTACCCGCACGCTGGGAGAGGGCGTGAGACAGGGATGTGCGGTTGGCTGGCGAGGAGACCCAGCTCCCTTTCTGCCGGCTTGGCTGGAGCTGGGTTCTGCCCACCAAAGAACAACACAAAGTTTCAACCCAGCTATCCGTGTCCACTCCTTGGAGGGAAGGAAATGAGCCTCTGGGCTGGAACAGGAGGCCCAGGGGCTGTTTCTGGTTCCATCAGAGCTGGCAGCTTCCTTGGCCTTGAGCCATGGCTCTGAAGTCCCCAGAGCTTCTGTCTGGACATGCCTTCCCTCCTCATACCTCCGGGCTGCCGAAAGTGGAGCAGCTGGGAGAGCTTTGGCGCCCCCTGTCACAGGCCCTCACCCTGGCCTACCAGAGGGGAGGGGTCTCTCCACCTCCCCTTGGAGACCCCCTGCCTCTCCTAGCGTCCATTCTGGTCTCTGCCCTGTAGTCAAGTGCCCCAGTCCCTCCTGTTGCTGTAACCAGGGCATCCTCCGCCCTGTCTTCACAGAGCACTACAAACACCACTGGTTTCCCGAAAAGCCTTCCAAGGGCTCTGGCTACCGCTGCATCCGCATCAACCACAAGATGGACCCCATCATCAGCAAGGTGGCCAGCCAGATCGGACTCAGCCCGCCCCAGCTGCACCAGCTGCTGCCGAGCGAGCTGACCCTGTGGGTGGACCCCTACGAGGTGTCCTACCGTATCGGGGAGGACGGCTCCATCTGTGTCCTCTATGAGGAGGCCCCGGTGGCTGCGTCCTGCGGGCTGCTCACCTGCAAGAACCAGATGCTGCTGGGTAGAACCAGCCCCTCCAAGAGCTACGTGATGGCCGTTTCCAGCTAGACGCCGCGCTGTGGCCGCCACCACCTGCCACCCGCTGGCTCCATGCTGAACTCATCCTGCCGTGACCACAGGCCGCCGCATACCTCAACCTGGGGAACTGTGTTTTTACATGAAGAGCTATTTATATATATATATCTATATTTTTTTTTTAAGAAAAGAGGAAAAACAACCAAAAGATTTTTTTTAAGAAAAACAACAACAAAAAAAAACCACCCCACAAATCCTTAAAGGGAGTTGCTTGAAAGTGGCCTCCCCAGGTGCCTTTCAAAGTGTGGAGCCTGTAAGCCAGTGTCTGCCTGTGCAAGGGTGGGGAGGGGCACGCCAGAGAGCCAGGAGCCAACTACTGTGAAGTGAGAGGTGGGGGCAGCCCTGGGACAGGACAGGGGTGACATTCAAACCTTCCTGCTCCCTCCTGGGACACCTGCCCTCCCTGGCCTCTCTCCAACTCAGGGGCATTCAAGCCTGGACTTCAACAATCCTATGTGGCTTAATGTTCTCTTTACTTTTCTGCTGAAATTCTAGGCAGGAAACGCAAAGCCCTCTTGTGCTCCCTTGGGTCAAAGCAGCTTTTAAACTCTACCTTCAGGGACCTGCAGAAGTTGCTTCTCAGTCAGGCATCTGAAGCCTCATCACACACACACACACACACACACACACACACCCCACCACCACCAAGCTGCCCCCGCACTCCAAGGGGTAAGGCAGGGGTGGGGGAGGGAATTCTGCACAAAACCTTTGCTTTTGCTTTGCTCTGCTTTGCGTGTTTGTGTGGTGAATATTTTAGGGGTGATCTGCGGTGTAATTTGGGGACCCAAAGAGTATCCACTGAGGATGTCTTTTTGGCCAAAACCCTTCGTTTTAGAACCACATGTGCAAGTCCTGGTGCTTCTTCTGTAATTCCCTTGGAGGGGGTGGCTCGAGAGCCCCCAGCAGCCCCGGGGCCTTTGCTCTTGCCTTGTTTTGTGAAGAACAACACTCCTGTCTACGCTGCCCACTGGGTCCCAGAGCTGCCCTCTCCTCCAAGGTCAAGACTTCTCAGGCCCTGTGCAATATGCCCCCAAGGTCCCTGGAGGGGCTCTCGGAGGCTCCTGGAGCCCAGGTGGGTTCAGGAACCGTGTCTCCTCCTCTGCTCGGGCCTTGGCGGGGGGCAGGGCCAGCCTCGCAGGTGTTCTGCGGTTCAGTGGGAGAACAGCCCCCGTTCTGCAAGACTCCTTGCTACTCCCCCAGAGGAGGAGGACTGACATTAAAAGCCAAACCTTGGGCACTGTTTCTACCTGCTGTGCTCAGAGCACCTGTGGGTGAGGCTGCCGTATTCCCCTCCCCCCACCCTTACAATCCAAATCTGTAGACATGTGCAATATTTCCTGATCTGGGTCGGAGACAAACAGAGACCTGCCCTGAAAGAAGTCCTCAGAGACTCGGTAGTGTTAGAAGGCCTTGTTTTCCACACTGAACCTCTTAGAAAGGACGGGGCTAGGGCATCTGGTCAACCTGTCTGTCCCTGCCCCCATACTCTGTTGCCCCTTAGTGCAGAATCTTCTCCCCCAGGACATTCCTCACCCCTCTCACAGCCTATTCCCTTTCCTAGATTTCTTAACCGCCCATTTTTGACACAAAGGTGCTATTTACCAAACTCCGTCTCTACCTGTTTCCCACCAGTTCTGCCTCCTCGAGTCTGGCTTCCGCGTTGCCTTCAGTTGCTTCCAGTCTGTTGCTTTAACGTTCCGCTGTGGGCCTGCAGACCTGAGAGCTAACTCTGTGGCCTGCAGGTCAGCGCCAAGCTGTGAATCGCTGTGGACGGTACTCTGTGTCCCGTCATATGCAGGGGCCTGCTCCAGAGAAGCAGCCTCATGGTCTCATGTTTCATCTCTCTCTTCTCTCTGATGTTCACTTTAAAAACAAAACCCCAGAGCTGGACTGTTGAGCAGGCCTGTCTCTCCCACTAAGTAAAAAATAAAGTGCATTTCTAAGCTATTCTGACAGAAAAGATTTAAAGGTTCCTAGTTGTACCCTACTGTTTTATATGGAAAAACAGCTTTATGGACAAATGTACACTTTTTTTTTTTTTGTTACTTTAATAAAAATGTAGCAGATGAAGTTGTGTGGTGTAGAGAAGGTAAAATTCCCTGCTGGTACTTTACTCTCAGACCCACATCCTTTGCGTTTCAGAGTGCTCCTTTCCAGTTGCACTGCAGCACGTAGCTGGTGTAGGAGAGACGCTTCCAAGCACGCCCTCTTCCCGGGGACCGGCCCCTGACTTCCCCCCCAGGAGCCCTGTGCTAGCAGTCCCCATGAAGACGCTGGAGGCAGCAGGGTTCTTGTAGTCTAAACATGCCTGGTCTAGCCCATCTCCATCCTGGCCATCCTGTCCTTGCTAGTGCAGTTTTATTTACCCATAATTCATCCATCTGGTCACTCATTAATCCACCTATCCATCCATCCGCCTGCCCATCCATTCACCAATCCATCATCCCATCTGGTCATAAATCTGTTAACATCCGTTGATCTATCCATCCATCTGCCTTACCCACTCAACAACCCACACAGCTATCCTTCCATCCACTCACAATCCATCCGTCTACCCACCTGCTCGCCGATCCGTCCAACTAGCCCCACACCCAGCCAGCCAGCAGGCTTGTGTTGTTAGTAAACACTGGACATTGAATGTACTAAAAATGATCAAGACAATGTGGAGTGATGGACAAAGGATGGTGAACCCCTTTACAGGCTGGGGCAACATGCTTGGCAATTCCGAAGACGTGCTCTCTTGCCGTTTGCTACCTACCATTCTCATTAGACAAGAAGAGTTAGGTCACAGACTAAGCACTGAAGCTGAATGTATGGCTGAAGTCCAATGCCATATGTTAGTTACAGAGCCACCTCCTCCCTTGGAAAACACGTGTGTGAGAGCAAAGGGCTCTTTGGCTTGAGGCATAGGATTCTGCAAGAGAATAAGAGCAGTCTTTCTCAGCTTGACTTTTTTTTTTTTTCCCCAGGTGGCTTTCCCAGCTTCTCTGGGAAAGAGTGCCAGTATGTTTTTGACCTTGATCTAGTTTCTTCTTGGCCCCAGGTGGGCTGAATTTAAACTAAATTTCCAGCGTGGGGATTTGTGAGTCACGGTGCTCCATTCTCCACGACGTTTGTCAGCAAGCATGAGTCCTGGGTGTGCTGGCTTGGGTGTGGACCACGGAACCTGCATGTGGGGTGCTGATTCTGTGCATGGGAGTGGGGGTGAACAGCCAGGACAGCCATGTCACCAACAGACTCAGTAATGGAGACCCACTAGTATCAACAGGTTGCTGGGTAAAAGAATCTCATGTTTGCTTGTAGCTTCTAATACATTTGTCCTAACTACCCAGTAATAGGAGCAGATGCTGTGGGTGTTGGGACAGTCCTAGGACTGAGGACACATTGCCCGTCCTGGTGCTGGGCATGCTGGACCTGTTATGTGTGGCACAAAGCCTGGCATTCAGACGAGGTTATCTGCAGAAAGAGGCTGACACCTGAACACTTTTCTATGTCTTAAAGCCAAGGAAACTACAGAATAGCACATTCTTCTGGGGGTGGCTCTGGACTCCTAGCCCACTAGTAGTCCTTTGATGTACGTGACAGGCTCCTGTGATCCATGCAACTTCAGCAGCGGTGGAGAGCACTCCATGACCAGCTGAGGGTCCCAGGTCCTGACCTGGAAATGCTGCGGTGGCAGCTGGTGGCCTTCCTGCCTTCAGAGACAAGGCATTGGTAGGCTCATGCCGCTTTTGGCCTCCCTAGTTGGTAAACAGTGCCAGCCAGCTGGGCAGATGTGTGCTTGGTCAGCTGTTAGGAGGTGATAACGCACCTCCCCAGAGCATGTGGACAAGGCCGTGAGAGCGGAAGATTAAGAGCCCATCCTGGCTCCCGATAAGGACTTTTGGGTGGGAAAGACCTTGAGGTGGCAGCAAACAAGCTTTGGGTGGGGGACAGAGGATGAAACACACTGCTGGGGGCCCAGCGTCTGTACCTCCAGACCCTTTGGGAGGAAAGATAGTGGGGACATAGGGGCCCTGCCCCCAGCTGCACCAGCCTCCCTGGCCCCACCAAGAGCAGCACTGGACAACAGTTCTGTGCTGGGATGAGGACTCTGCCTCTTGGCCCACAGCATGTGTCTAGACAAGCTCCTTCTGCTTTCTGGTGCCTAAATGAGGGTGTTAGATGAAACGACTCTTGTTTTCTTCCTCAGCTTTGGTTCTCTAAGCCATCTCCATTATATCCTGGCTGTCACTGGAGCGGGGGGCATTTCCTACCATTATTACCATGCTGTTCAATTAGCTCAACCAAAAGGCAATTCGACCTGTGAAGAGGAATGAGCAATACATTTCCTACTCGGGCCAGACAGCTGCCCACCTGCCTGCTAAGGTTTCCGTGTCCGTGCATGGTAAGACAAGGCGGGATGGCCAGGTTTGGGAGCTCAGCTCTGGGGCAGGGTGGCCAGTCTGAACTCTGTTCACTGCTCATGCAGCCTGTGAGAAGGGGCCTCCAGAGCAGGCCTTAGGAATCCCCAATGGTAAAGTGTAACTGAGAACAGCACCCATTTCTGAACATTGTCACTGACAAATGAGAGACACAGGTGACTTGGAACGGTCCTGGAACCTTTCAGTGTCAGCAGGACTCAGACCACAAAGACCTGATTATCTCCTGCCTTTGGGACTGAGTTGGTCCAGGGGTGAGGACAGACACTCTGGTCTGCCAGAAATGGAGGGAACCATTGTTAAACAAACAGTACCTACCAGAACCTTCAAGAAGGCCTGTGGTTCCCACTAGCCAAGTACCCTGTGGCCTCTCCCCTAATCTCCACTATTTGTGTACAAATCTTCACAATGTTGGTGCTGGTGCTATGGCTCATCTGGCTAAGCCACTTGTCTGCGGTGCTGGCATTTCATATGGGCAACAGTTTCAGTTGCAGCTACCCCATGTCCAATGCAGGTTGCTGCTATCGCACCTGGGGAAAAAGAGGAAGATGGCCCAAGTCCTTGGGCCCATCCTCACATGGGAGACTTGGTTAAGGTTCCTGGCTCCTGGCTTCAGCCTGGCCCAGTACTCGCTCCTGCTGTCATTTGGGGAGTGAGCCAGTAGATGGAAGATCTCTCTGCAACTCAAATAAATAAATCTTAAAACACACACACACACCAGGGCCTGAGGGCCCAGTGTGGTAGCCCAGCAGCTAAAGTCCTCACCTTATATGCACCAAAGCCTTGGGACACTGTACCTGCATGGGAGACCTGGAAGAGGTTCTTGGCTTTGGATAGGCACAGCTCCAGCCGTTGAGGTCACTTGGGGAGTGAATCAACAGATGAAAGATCTTCCTCTCTGTCTCTCCTCCTCTCTATATATCTTACTTTACAATAATAATAATAAAAAAAATCGGGGCCTGAGAGATGGCTCAATTGATTAATCCTCTACTTATAAGTGCCAACATCTCATATGGATGCTGGTTTGTGTCTTGGCTGCTCACTTCCCATGCAGATCCTTGCTTATAGCCTGGAAAAACGGTAGAGGCTGGCCCATGTGCTTGGCCCCCTGTACCTGTATGGGAGACCCACTGGCAATTCCTGGTTCCTGGCTTCAGGTTGGCTCAGCCCTGGCAGCTATGGCTATTTGGGAAATAAGCCAACAAATGGAAAATCTTTGTCTCTCCTTCTCTCTGGAAATCTGTCTTTCCAATAAAAATAAATATAAATCTTAAACACACACATACACACAAATCTTTGAATCTACGAGTCCTTCCTCAGGCTGCTTGTGCCCATTATAGGTGCGCTGTAGGTCCTAAGGAGTGAGCAATTGTCAGCTGAGCAGACCAGAGAATGATCTCTGTCGTGCTTACAGAAATGCCCAACGTCTTTGCCAAGCAGCTGACCTTGTTGGCACAGGGCAGCATCCACTCCTGTGTTGGTGGGTTAGTGCCCAACTAGGCTACATGCTCACAAACACACAATGTGGGTGGAGAGAGGCCTTCTCCAACATCAGCATTGCTTGCCTTCATTGTGCCCATCTGGGGACTTGTACCTTCCTGCTCCCTCTCCCTGGAAGGGGGGAAGTAGGGGGAGGCTGAGATGGAGGAGCCCAGGCTCTCTGGTGTTTCCTGTGCCAGGCTGGAAAGTGAAATGCTGAGCTCTGTGTACGAGGCTAGCCAGGTATCAGGTGAGCACAGGACACAAACCTGTGTGCTCTGGTGTACCGCCAGGGCTGGCCTCTGTCCTGCTTCTCTGGGCCCCTAGCAGCTGCCAGGTGTTGTGTTTCCTGCAGGAGCTGAGTTCTACCGTTCCCCACTGCCATTCTCATAGGCAAAGGTTGGGCTTCATTCAACCTTTGTCCATGAGCCTGTCCGACTGCCTGGAGCA